GTAACATTAACCAACAACAGTCGAAGATAAAAGCACTCAGTGTGTCTTGGATTAACTGTAAATAAGCGTTCGATTTAAATAAATTGAGACATGCATCAACTGGTGAAACTTGCTTGCGGGGCATCCATTTTTTTGTTTGAGCCCATGTGAAATAGCGTGGTACTTGTGAATAGAGTAATGTTCTTGCAAAGGCACCAAAATCATCCGTACTATTACACAATTCAAAAAATGCAGTGAGTGTAGATTTAGGTGGATTTGTACCACGATCAATCACTGTCTCGTTCGTGAAAAATACACGCTGACCGTTTTCAAGATGGACGGCTAACTGAACAGCTGCTGGATCCCGTTCATGAATTAGAAAACCGAAGATACGCCAAGCAGCTTCATTGGAGCTGATGACGACAATTTGGTAGAGCGTAATTTCACCGTTTTTGTTCATTGGAGGAGCATTTACATTAGTATTTTCTACTCTAAACACAGCCATATCACTGCCTTTTTGGACATACTTGCAAATATATTTGATGCTCTTCACAGAACTGCAAAACTCAACATTAATATGAGCATTGTGTCTTGCTTAGCAGATGCGAATACGGCACCACCCGCCATTGTCCCCCATTATCGAGATTTCTTCGACGATATATTGGATATTCGTCGGTATTTGTTCTAGTATCATTAGTGAAATCTTTATAAAAACTTTTTGTACATTTTTCATCTGACATGCAAGGCGAAGACGAAGTGGATGTAAATGCTCGATGTACTTGTTGGCGTAGTTACATAAAATATTAAGAAAAAATTTTTGTTTTTCAAAAATATAAACAAAATTTATGTCAAAAAAATAAAAAATTTTTTGTTAAAGCAATAAGGATATTTTTGCTGGGTAGGGACTCCCTAATCACTTTAGCGGTATGAAAAATAGATAGTAGCCGATTCTCATACCTACTGAATACGCATATAAAATTTGGTAAAAATCGGTAAAGCCGTTTCGGAGGAGTACGATAACTAACATTGTGACATGGAAATTTTATATGTAAGACCGCAAACAGACATCGTTTGGCCTTGTGACTTATTGATGGTCTTTGCAAATGCCAATCTAATAGGAAATTGAACGCGTTTGAATTAAATTGGCTTGTCTGTAAGAATCATTGGAATTCGTGGCAATAAAAGTTTTTCGTTTCGGACCTTGCCATTCAAAATGGTGGCTTCGATAATGTTTTTCATCAATTTTTTAATTACCAATCGCGTACTATTGCATAGCCGTGGCGGGTTCAAATTCCGAAGTAAAATAATCGGTGATCCAACTTTCAGTCGTAAAATGTGTGGTGGGATGCCTGGCAAATTCAGTGAGTTTAAAAACTCTGCTGGATAGTTTACAACTTCGTTGGTATCACAAACTGTATCGATCGATTTGTATGATATTAAGTCGCTTGGCAATGTCTGTTTTATCTTGAAGTTTAATTCATCAACGTCCACGTTTTTTTTGCTGCTAATGGCTCTTTCTGCCAGCCAGATTTATGTATTGTATGTGTACATCTGGAAATACGCGGTCAATGAGAGCATTTTGGGAATCAACGATAGTACAGAAATTAGGGGCAGTTTTATGAATTCAGTATTTTCATAGACAACAACTTTTCATATCATAGCAAGTTTTCTTTTTCAAAAATATAAAAAAATGTATGTCAAAAAAATAAAAAAATTTTTGTTAAAGCATTAAAGATATTTTTGCTGGATAGGGATACCCTAATCACTTTAGCGGTATGAAAAATAGATAGTAGCCGATTCCCAGACCTACTGAATACGCATATAAAATTTGATAAAAATCGGTAAAGCCGTTTCGGAGGAGTACGGTAACTAACATTTTGACAATGTTAATTTTATATATAAGATAATGTAATATTATTTAAGTTTTATATATATAATGTACATATATGTTAATATATGTATAATGTGATGCGGAAACTTTATTCTAGTAATTAAAGGGGAGATATGTGATCATAAGGCTTAATACTTAGAAGTTTACATTTATCTAAGCCAGGATGGTAATATACATAATACATCAGTCAATAAGTCATGTAAAGTCTTTTCAAAGTGGGTGCCGCGTTTACTCACAGTCGATCAAAAACAACAATATGTTGATGATTCAGAGCAGTGTTTGGCCATGTTTACACGTAATAAATCAGATTTTTTGCGTCGATATGTGACAATGGATGAAACATTGATCCATCACTTCACTCCGTAATCAAAACGAGCATCATCTAAGTGGACTGCAGCCGGTGAACCACATCCGAAGCGTCCAAAGGCACAACAGTCAGCTGGGAAGGTTATGGCTTTAGTATTTTGGGATGCACATGGAATAATTTTCATTGAATATCTCGAAGAGGGAAAAACCATCAATAGTAACTATTACACGGCATTACTGGAGCGTTTGAAAGCAGAAATTGTGAAAACAACGACTGCATATGGCGAAGAAAAATTGCACGAATTGTATTTCGAATTGCTTCTTCATCCACCGTATAGTCCAGATCTGGCCCTCAGCAAATAGCCAGTTGCTGATTTCAAAGAATTGCTCGCCGGTACGAAATTCATTTCAAATGGTGAAGTAATTGCTGCAACTGAAACTTATTTTGAGGTAAAAGACAAATCCTTCTACAAGTACGGCATCGAGAAGTTAGAGAAGCGTTGGAATGATTGTATTGCCCATGAAGGAGATTATATTGATAAGTAAAAACGATTTTTGACAGAAAAAATTTGTTTTTCTTAGTTAGTCACACGTCTTATTGACTGATGTGTTATATAGTATTGATATTAGGATAGCTCTGATAATATACCACGTCATTTTTTAACTTAGAAAATAATACAACTAGTCCGGTTAGCAAAAAAATAAATTTTTCCAAACTACTGATGGCCACCCTAATACTATATATATATATATATATAAATATATATATATAATATATATAATATATATAAATATATATAAATATATTTATATATACATACATATACATAAACGTATATATCAACATATATTAATTTAAATTATATATGTGTAGATTTTTATCTGAATGGGAAAATGGTATGGCAAGCTGACTGTCAAAGAAGGCACCTATACCTGATAAATCTGTAGCAATACCAGTTTAGAGTCCTTTAATTGAGCTAATGAATCTCCACATTATTCAAAATGTGTGATAATAAGGAGTTTAGTCCCTTAAAACTGTTAGGATCTTATTCAAGCTTTCAGTGAATCGGACAAAAATAGAGGAAATGCTGCAGGGCTTACTTGATACCTGATTATTAACATTTCTTGCATTTACCACAGCTGTGCGCTATTATTATATAGTGCCCTATTGAAATAGTTGCCAGCATTCTGCAGTTCTTTCGACAGCATATTTTTATATATATTTGAAATGATTTCAGTAACTTTGCATGTACTTGAGTTACACCAACTGTTTTCGCCTTTTTTAACATGTGCTCGTCTAATTATTTGAATATATTTTGTAAGTTGTACCAATTTTTACAATATTGTTTTAGTTTTCTATATGTCTTTGTGGCCCGAAATACACATATAGTCCATGTATATGTATCAATGTACCTAATACTTCCTTAAACTGCTGAAACTGCTGTGGAAAGTATTTTATAGTGTAATATTTGTTGTTTCATCCAAATCCAATTTTTTAAACAAAAAATATGTTAATTTTACATGAAATATACCTATTACAGTAGTCTGTATAATGTAATCTACACCGACTAGTTTTTAGGATTATAATTTTATTAACGAAGGTCCAATGGGTATATCATTAACATAAAATTTCTTGGTGATTATTATGAATATTGTTAATATATTTTCGTAATATATTCAAGTAGACGTTTAAAAATAGATGAATTCCTGTCTGTGTCTATCTGTGTTTAGAATAACTGAGTTTGTCGAATGAAATTTTGCGTAAAGTATAATACCAGTATATGCAGATAAATTTTATTTTGGAATTAAAATTAAGTTTCCAGTGAAAAAAGCTAGCCAAAATGCTTATACCTATAACATATAAAATTATGTTCATTTATGCAAAGCTTTGTTTTTATATTAATTAAATTAATATTGTAATTAATTATTTTGAAACGTAGCGAAATCTGGTTTTTGTGTTAAATTGATGTTCTAATCTAAATATATTACACATATTGTTTATAGTATTTAAAATAATATTTGGTTATATGTTTCAATATATGTACGTCACAAAGTATGCAAAGTATGATGCATATGTCACTACTACTACTACTGATTTTCTCCAACCACTACTACTACTTCTGCAGCATAGGGCCTCCAAACACTTCCTTGGAGGTCCTATATCACTACTCGTAGATGTATACCAGTCCTGAGCTATACCAGGCACATTTTCCCCTTCTGATGAACTTTACAGTATTATACACTCCAGTTCTTCTGTTCCTTTATATTTTTAAGGTATATAACAATTGTTTTGTTTTCTAATTTTAAGATCATGTTTTTGATGTTATAGATTAGTAGGGGTTAATCTAACCCACATCGTTGGGTTATTTGTAGTATATTTGAAATGTAGTCTAATAAACATTGTTATTTTTCAACAGAGCGTAACATAGAGTATGAAGTGATTGATAAAAAATTTAATGGATTGATTTAATAAAAATGTGTATGATATTTATAAGCTTTCTTTAATTTTTCCTTTATTTAATTTTTCACGATCAATATGTCAAATACTATCGTGAGCTAACTTTAGTGCGATTCATGGTCTTGTATATTGATACAAGTGATAATGATATTGATATTCATTAGGCTAGTGCATTTTTGTCGGTGATTTTTCATTTAATTTATATGTATGCCTTATTGCACGAGCATTAAACGTGATAACATATAAATATATTATAGTATAAACTATGTATATATAGTTTGAATGTTTCTTTACGTCATAAGATGCGTCACTTTCGACAAAAAAAAATTAACAATATCACATATTTCTTTTTTATATATTTTTCAGGTACAATGATACCAAAATCTGGCGGTGATTATGCGTATATTGGTACAGCGTTTGGACCTTTGCCTGCATTTTTATATCTTTGGGTTGCTTTATTGATTTTAGTGCCTACAGGAAATGCGATAACAGCACTTACTTTTGCACAGTATTTACTAAAACCATTTTGGCCTTCATGTGAAGCACCAATTGAAGCAGTACAACTACTAGCAGCAGTAATGACATGTGAGTACGAATATGATCGACTCCTTTAAATATTTAATATAATTTACAATTTACTTTCAGGTGTACTCACAGTAATAAATTGTTACAACGTGAAATGGGTGACACGAGTTACCGATATTTTTACTGGCACTAAAGTATTCGCCTTATTAGTAATTGTTGCAGCAGGTGTTTGGTATTTATTTCAAGGCAATACTGAACATTGGGAAGAACCTATGCGCGGCACACTAACATCACCAGGCCTAATAGCGTTGGCATTTTATAATGGTCTTTTTTCATTTTCTGGTTGGAATTTTTTAAATTTTGTTACGGAAGAACTTAAGGACCCGTATAGGAATTTACCAAGAGCTATTTGCATATCAATGCCTGTTGTAACTATCATTTATGTAGTAACGAATATTGCATACTTTTCGGTGCTATCCACCGATGAAATACTTTCATCAGATGCTGTAGCGGTAACATTTGGTGACAAAATGCTTGGTTTCATGTCTTGGCTAATACCGTTCTTTGTGGCTTGCTCGACTTTTGGTTCTCTAAATGGAGCTATTTTTGCATCTTCACGGTTATTTTTTGTAGGTGCAAGAAACGGACATTTGCCTGCAGCGATTTCACTTATTAATATTAATTGTTTAACGCCAGTTCCTTCGTTGATATTTTTAGTAAGTTTTTTATTGCATAAAATTATGAACAATAATATTAATATAATTTTATTTTTTATTTTAGTGCGTGCTGACATTAGTATTACTTTTCATTAGAAACATTTATGCGCTCATTAACTATGTTAGTTATGTAGAAGCACTTTTCACATTCCTTTCCGTTGCGGGTCTGTTATGGTTACGTTATAAGCAACCTAAAACCGAGAGACCTATACGCGTTAGTCTAGCATTACCCATTATCTATCTTATTATCTGTATGTTCCTTGTGATCTCATCATTTTTCCAATCGCCTTTAGAAGTTGGTGTGGGCACTGCGATCATACTTTCCGGCATTCCAGTATATTATCTGACAATACATCGACCCGTCAAATGGCTCACAAACTTATCACAAGCAATACATTTGTGGTGTTCCAAATTTTTCATTTGCATGCCAAATCAGGAGAAATTTGATTAATTATTATTTAGTTTAGCTTAGACTTTTGAATTAATTGTATATGTTGGAACTAAGAAAACTTTAGTGCCTTTAGTTTTAAAAACCAAAGGTAGTCAATAATTTCGAATTTTTAAGAAAGGAAATAGCGCTTGAAATGCATTTTTACTATTTAAAGAAATATTTTTTATATGAAAATATTAAAAATGACCATTAGGAAATTGTATATATATATGAAACTACTCTTAGAAGAACGTCATTTATTATAAATGGATATATTAAAGGACAAGGATCATATCAATTAAACGACAAAAGTAAAAATATAAGAACGTTATTAATTTTATAGACTAAATGAAACTTGCACAATTTTTCATACAATAATTTGAAATAATTATTTTAATATTAAATATTATACATTATTTATATATTATAAACGTAAGTGATGTTTATATACACTAATTATAAATTAACTATTAAATATATTAAAATTATAAATAATAAAGTTGAATTTTGTACAACTCGAATTATAAATAAAAATTTAAGAATTATAATTATACATTTTTAATGTCTCATAATATTGTTAATTACAGATGGAAATGGAATGTAATTCATTTTAAATCAAACTTTAAGAATGAAAAATATAAGAAGAATCAAAAACATATAAGCATCATTCAATTTTCTCCTTGTACCAAATCTATATTCTACTACAGAATATAGACTCTATATAGAGAATATAATTCTAAGAATATAAGAATATGTAAGAATATAAGTATACTATATTCTATTAACAGACTTTTTCATATAACAAATTTGTACTAAAAATTTAAGGCAATAAATAGAAAAATTGGACATACAAAGAACTTCTAGGCTTACAAGTTAGTATAAAACTCAGGCAATTCATTAAATTGTAGACCCATAATAATAAGTTTTACGTGACCACTTTAAAATTTCCTTTAGATGTACTATATTCTATTAACAGACTTTTTCGTTATAACAAATCTGTACTATAAATTTAAGGCAATAAATAGAAAAATTGGACATACAAAGATCTTCTATGCTTACAAGTTAGTATAAAACTCAAGTAATTGATTAAATCGTAGATCCAGAATAATAAGTTTTGAGTGACCACTTTAAAATTTCCTTTAAATGTACTATATTCTATTAACAGACTTTTTCGTATAATAAATTTGTACCAAAAATTTAAGGCAATAAATAGAAAAATTGGACATACAAAGAACTTCTAGGCTTACAAGTTAGTATAAAATTCACGCAATTGAATAAATTGTAGACCTATAATAATACGTTCTACGTGACCACTTTAAAATGTTCTTTAGATATAAATATAATGATGCCAATATAATGAAGCAATTATGTTCTAGTATATCACTTAAACATTTTTCAAAAAAATTTTTTTTACAGTTGTATACGATTATACATATTATACATTGATATACCAACTGCTTACAACAAGTGAAGCATTCTAAATATCCAACGAAAGAGTAACGCTTACTTTCTATGACATTTTCTTTAAGGATAATGATGCACCCTATACCTTTCACACCTTTTAACTTATCTTGTTACCGTTGTATAGCTTTTTTAATATTGTACAAATGAATTATCATATATGCAACAAGTTTAACCAGTGTATGTAAGTAGAACGACACCTAAAAATTTGAAGACCAGGCCTCACAGAAACCTATAGACTAACTTTTAAGAACAATAGGCTTTATTAACCAGATTGATTTGTAAAGTTAAGTTAGCACCACATTAGATTGAATATATGGAGAGTGCAATTATTATTATTAGTGGAGTTTCATTAAGAACATAAATTATTAACATAGAATATTCTTCGTTATCTGTCAGATGCTTTATGTCGCAATTCGCTTAATGTTTTGCAGTTTGTGTCTATTGTTATCGAAAACAGGAGTGGTGGTACGAGGCACACCAGCTTTACCCCCGTTAACGCAGAAAACGGTTCACTTATTTTTCCTGCACGTGTTTGAATCATTGTATTGCGTTTTTTTAAAGTTTGTAAATTTCATGGGAACATCTTTGTCTTCAAATGCATCCCAAATTGTACTTCTTAAGAGACCGTCGAAAGCCTTTTCAAAATCTATAAAAATTAAACACAACGGAGTGTTGAATAGTTTGCACGAAAACCTCCTTGTTCCTTTCTTAGTAAACGATCTAGTGAGTCTTGTATACAGCTAAATATAATACTGTTGAAGATTTTTTTGACTTCAGATGTAAGAGCAATTTCTCTCCAGTTGTTGCAAAGTTTTAGAACCCATTTTTTGGGGAGGTTCTTTCCAGCTTTGCAGTATAGTTTCAGATTGCCATATTTCCTTAAAGAGTAGTCTTAACATTTCAGCTACGCTGCATGCATTTGTTTTTTAAAATTCTGGAGAAAAGTTCTTCATTCCAGCTACCTTTCTATTTTATAGTTATTGTATAGCTTTTTCAATTTCGTCAGAAACTAAGTGTTTCGGTGGAAACAAATCAAAGGGCGCGTAATGGTTGGTCAGCGAGTGTGTTTTACTGAGAGTATTCTTGACGGGAGTTAAACGTTTCATAAAAATACTCTCTCTATCTGACAAGCCATTCTTTGAACGCGGAAAGAGTTTTACCGTCTTTATCTTTGATATGCTGATTTTGATTGCTTTACCAGCAAGTTTCCGAAAACCGGATTGAGCTTCTGTTGTCAAGTTGTTGAAGAAGATATATTTATCATATCTGGCTTACTACTTAACTTCTTTTATGAAAACGCTATATTTTGCGTTCAGTTGATTTATTGCTACGCAATCGGTAGCGTTTTCTAGTAATTGCTTTACTTTGCCCCTTTGATCTAATTTCTGCCAGAACTCTTGGTGATAAGCATTATTTACGTAGTTTGCGATATATTCCGGCAATGTATTTAGCTATATCGTTTAAGATTTTTTTGATATTTTCCCATGTTTCGTTTAAGTGGAATTTGATGGGATGACGCGTATGTTCCGGCAGACTTTCATTTTTTTTAATTACTTCGTTTGCGAAACTTTCTTGATTATTTTCTAATCTTAGTTCTTCGATATAATAACGTTTCCGATTTTGTAGTCGGGTAACGTTTCAACTCGCTTATTACAAGATAGTGGTTAAAAGCTATGTCTGCGCTTCAAAACACCATTATTTCCTGCAACACTTTTAGATACTTGGAGAATGCAAGCTTGTTGATTTTTTTAAAAGGACGGTTATGTTATATCCGTTTCTGATATATGTCACAGGTGTAGTTTTCATTTTTCGGTAAATTCCATTCTAGTTGCTGCTTTACATACTACACATTCGAAACCTATTGAATCGATTGGGATGATATTAAGTAGAGTGTACAAATCATGAAATTAATATACTAAAAGTGAAACAATATATTTACCTAATAAAATATGCAATAAAAGCCATTGTTGTTCATAAAAGACACAACGTTTTTTGTTTTATTAAATAAATGAAAAATAAAAAAACAAATTAACTAGTGTATGTTAAAGACAACACCATAAATATTGTATATTTCTGTTATACATCTCTGAGATATATAGAATGTATAAA